GCCAGCGTCCGCCTTCGGAGGGGAGCTGTCTGAGCGCTCTTAGCAAATGGCCTGAAAATGAAACGGCTCTGAGTCACGAAAAGTAGGAAAACACGGAGGGCACAGCCGGCAGGAAATGCGCTAAGAGAAGCGGAAACAACCCCTGTCAGTGCGTGTGCGCCTGTCCGCATGTATTAATCGCCGCCTTTGCCTCCTGCGTTCGAATTCGAAGGAACTGCAACTTTTTTTTTCATAAGCAGTTAATAACTGATGCCGCTTTCAGTTTCATTTCCGCATATTCCTCATCGACATCGCTCATGATGATCACCGCGCCGCCAGCCCCCACGGAAACCTGAACACGCAGCACAGAAACGAACTCTGTAGGCTAGACACACACATCTAGCTGTAGTATACTTCTTAGCGCAATCCTGCTGAATTCATTTCGGATTCTTTTCAGCCTCTAGCCCACAGGGACCGCTTTAAAGCGCCCCACGCCTCCAGCAGTACAAGGTACGTGGTGTTTGCTGGGGGATCTGAAAGGCACCCGCTCTGTTCTTCACATGCCAGTGCTATTCTTCACGGGTCATCTCCACACTCTCACAACGGCCTTGCAGCAGCCGTTTAAATGACCCAGCTCATGCTACTGCAATTCGTTGCAGACAGCCAAGCAGCGGGCGCTGGCGGTCAGCTGCAAGAGATCCGAGGGAACTGAAATGCTATTGTCTGACGACTCAGTGCACCAAAGAGGCTCTTGCGGAGTTTCTGGGGGAGGTTTCAGCAGGGCTCGCACGAATAAAACGGCATGGAGGACTATTTATCTTCCTGTGGGATGCACTGCAAGCTTCAAGTTGCCTCACCTGATTGGAAGTGAAGACTGCAGTGCGAATAACTATGTTCAAGCATGCAGCTCCAGTTAAAGAGAAGAAACCGAGAGTCCCACTGTAGATTCCTCGGGGTCCCGACTCGCATCTGGCAACAAACGCACATGATGTGGTTTACACAAACAACGCAGCAGCAGCAGCAGCAGCAGCAGCTACAAATCGCGCAAAGCAGAAGTAGTGAGGAGTTGTTTGCCTCATTCGGAAGCTGGCGGGAAGTTAACTTTCGCTGACTCGCGCCGCTTGCCACGAGCTCACTGCGTGCGGATGCAAACCCTAAACCCTAAACCCTACACCATCGACCCGAAACCCCAAAGCCTAGAGCCTAAGTTGCAACAGCATCTAACAGTGCAGCTATTCGAGAGGACGCCAGAGTTCTTTTGGCACTTGGGAGGTGACAGAATGAGGTATGCGCCACGGACTTGGCAATAATGTTCATAGCGCTGACTTTGGGGGCCCCTGTCATGGAGCCTCCAGGAAAAGCTGCAATAACGGCGTCCACCGCGTCTTTGTCTTCTCTGAAAACGCACAAGACAGCAAGGACATAACCCACAGTCAGAATCTCCTTTGCGCGCAAATAGCTCCACCCCCCGCAGGCAAAACTAGAGCAGCTGCTGCTCCGCTGAGTTAACAGGGCTGTGCTGCTGCTGTTCGCGGCCACTGAAGCCGCGACAGCAACTGCTGCTGCCTCCGGCAGCAGCGGCGCTGCACCAGTGCCTCCGCTGCCGCTGCTTCTGCTGCCCGCTGCTGCTCCTGCTGCCGCAGCTAGCTAGCTAGCTGGCTCTGCAACGGTAAAAGGCTGGTTTCTGTTCGCAGGCCGCTCAGCCACTCAGCCCCAGCTAGCCCCACCGCAGCTGCCCCTGGATCGCCGAGACCATGTGGTGCACTTTTGCATGCGTTTCCACGAACAGCAGCCGCGGCACTGACACCGAGCCGTCTGCGCACACGCGGCCTGTGCCCAGTAGCGCCCGCGCACACAGCCAAAGGTCTTAATCAAAAATCAGAAAATGAAATAATAACTATTCTAGCTTGTCTTGATTCCCCATTTATAAGTTTACTGCGCAGTGTGAACTATGCCATGCTAAATGAACTGAAAGAAACGCTCGCTGAGGCACATTAGCTGCCTGGCTCTGCCGCTAACTAGCTGCTCAGCTAACTAGTTTCTGAGCTAGCTAGCGGCTGAGATGGCTAGCTGTTCAACTAGATAGCTGTTAAAATAGCTATTTGCTGACTCAATTAGCTGCTGAGCTAGCTAGCCGCTGGGCGGTCTAGCTTCTGAGTTAGCTAGCTCCTGAGCTGGCTAGCCGCTGGGCGAGCTAGCTTCTGAGCTAGCTAGCTTCTGAGCTAGCTAGCCGCTGAGCTAACTAGCCGCTAGCCACGTGCAGAGCTAGCAGTTGCGGGACGGGCGCTTACCGAGGTCGTTTCGGACTAAGTCCACAATCATTCGGTTCTCCGCCTTGTCCTTTTCTGACGCCGCCAAGTCCGCAGCCAGCGCTAAGTCCTCAGCCTCCGTGAGGCCCCTCTTCCGCGTGCCCTTTATAGGCCGCGACTCCACCAGCCCGTCGGCCCGCACCTTCAGGAACAGTTCGGGGCTCGCGCAGCACACGGCGAAACCCTCAGCAGCCCCCGGGGCCCCCGGGGCTCCTGGGGCCCCCGGGGGGCCCCCGGAGTCCTCGCATGCAGTGCGAGCAAGGACGAACTCATCTGGCTGGTACCTGTGCAGCAGCGCATGCGCGGCAGCCACTTGCTCTCCCTGGACCCCTTGCTGGGCAGCCGCAGCCCCACAGTGCCCCGCCCAGTCCCCACAGATTCTTTGCATGCATGCATGCATGCATGTATGGCCCCGCAGGTCTCCTGCGTGCATGCATGCATGCATGCATGCATGGGTAGCGAGGTGCATGCGCTGGCCCACCTGAGGAAAGCCCCAAACTTGGAGCGGTTCTTGTCGCGCAGCCGCATGTACATCTGAAGAGGCGAGGCGCTGCCGGCGCTGAACTGCGCATGCATTTGATCTGTGAGGCAAACTTCATAAGCATTTCCATTTTCTATTTCCCGCAGCAGAATCTTGGCCGCCTCCCTATATTCTCCTTCTGTCAATGAAGCCGAAAAAGAAAGCTGCTGCTGCTGCTGCTGCTGCTGCTGCTGCAGGGGGGTCTGCAACGCGCTGTCTTGATGCGGACTGGGAGCAGGCCGCACACAAGCAGCAATTTGTTCAAGGGCCCCCAAAGCCCACTGGCGCTGCACCTCTGCTATGGACTGGAGTTTCTCTTGTGTGACTCTGCCTGCGCAGAGAGCCTCTAGCAGCGGCTCGCAGGGGCTGCCTTTGGAGGGTCTTTGAGCCTGCTGCTGCTCCCCCGCAGCAGCAGCAGCAGCAGCAGCAGCGGGGACCAGCCAGACGAGGAAGCAGCGCGCCTCGTCGTTGTCCACAACAATATAGCGGTCAGCAAACACCCACAGGGAAAGGGGGTAAGCCGTGGGCAGGGCCTCTTTGGAGTTCTTCTTCAGATCCACGGGGGGCCCCCTATCCCCCTGGGCCCCCCGCAGCCTCTCAAAGGCCCTGTGCCGCAGCTCATAGGCGAAGTAGCCCACGTAGCCGCCCACAAACTCAAAAGGCAATTCTGCAGGGTCAAGGGGCCCCTCCCCCACTAGCTGCAGCGCTGCAGGGGCCCCCCTCTCCGCCTCCCCACCCGCGGGGGCCCCCCCCGGGGCCCCCCCGGGGGCCCCCCCCGGGGGGCCCCTCGGAGCCTCAGCGCGCCAGCGGCGAAGCCGCAAGGGGCCCTGGAGGCCCTGGGGGCCCTGAAGGCCGTGGGGGCCCCTGAGGGCCTCAAAAGGGTCCAGCGGGAGCTCGCGGAAGTGCAGACTTTGGGGGCCGGCCCCACAGGGGCAGCCCTGGGGGCAGCGGAAGAGCTGGCTGCTGCTGCTGCCGGCCCAGCTCTGCAGCAGCTCGGCACAGGGGCCCCCCGAGTCCCCCATGTAGCCAAATCTTGAGAGGAATTCTTTTTCCACGGGGCCCGAGTCGGCCTGGGCTGAGTCCGCGCTGCTGCTGTCAAGCCAGAAGCTTGCGGGGCTCTTCCCGTAGAGTTTCCTGAAGAGCTCTCGCGAGTCCAGTACCAAGGGGGCCCCCTTTCCAGGGCCCCCAAACTCCCCTGCTGCTGCTGCTGCTGCTGCTGCTGCTGAGACTCCCAGCGCCACTTCTGCCACGTTCACTTCCCACACCGCCGCCTTCCCGCCCAGCGGAGCCGCTGTGCTTCCCTCCAGCTGCGCAGCCCTCGAATCTTCTCTGCTGCTGCTGTTGCTGCTGTTGCTGCCGTTGCTGTTGCTGTTGCTGCTGCTGCTGCTGCTGAGTGGACGCGGGGGCCCTGGGCGGCTGGCGCAGTGCCAGCGCTGCGTCAACTCGCGGAAGTTGCGGAAGATCTGAAGGCCGCAGGGAGTGCCAATGGACTCTGGATGAAACTGAATTCCAAAAAATGGCAAAGTCAAGTGCTGAATGGCCATAATGGCGTACGGCGAAGGACTGCAGGTCCACGCCGTGACTTTCAGGCACTGTGGCAAGCTGCGACACGCACACACACGAGGGGGCCCCCGAGGGGCCCCTGAGGGGCCCCCGAGGCGCCCCTGAGGGGACTCTGAGGGGCCCCTGAGAGGCCCCTGAGGGGCCTCTCGGGCTCTAGCTGATTAGCTGGGATCCGTGGAAGCTACAAATACCCCCTGAAGGGCTCTGAGGGGCCCCTGAGGGGCCCTCAGGGGCCCCGGAGGTCCCCTGAGGGGTATTGAGAAAGACCCTGAGCCCCCGCAGGTCCTCGGAAGCCCTAATTCCGGCTCTTTGGACTTTTTAAAGGAGAAAATGGCAAGAGACACTGTGGTAGTTACAGAGAGGCTCTCACCTCTCAGGGGCTATGCAAAGTGAGTGGTAGCGGGCAACAGGGGCCACCCGGGGAAGGCCCCGAAAGAGCTCGGACTCAGGCGAAAATTCCACTGGGGAGCAGCGGCCGTGGAGGATTTCCGGGGCTTGCACGATCTGCAGCAGCGTGCAAAAAGGACAAGTCCAGAGTCACAAAAGATCTTTTTGCAGAAGAAATCGGGTTCTTAGGAACAAAAAAGTGCCAAAAAACAGGAGATCTGGCCTTTTTTCAATTCAAATAGTTAAGAAACCCTTACTCTGGCGCCTAAGAGGTGCCCCAGCCCCTGGTGGCCCAGGCAAACGCCCAAGACGGGAAGAGAGGTGCAGGAGAGCGCTGCAGCAGAAAGGCCGAAGTCTTTGGGGTTTTCGGGAGTGCCAGGCCCCGGGGAAATGACAATATTATCAATTTCGGGGAAAGCGGCGCAGACTTTGGCCCAGTCGCCCCCAAACGCGTCGTTGTAGACCACTGCAGGGGCAGTGCCGTTGGCCACAGATATCATCTGGTACAAGTTGTAGGTAAACGAGTCATAGTTGTCTATTATGAGGGTCTTCACTGCCCGCCGAGAGGCAGTGGCCTCAGACTCCGTGTTCTTCATGGTTTTTAAGGAACTTTAAGGAGCTTTCTCGCCTCCTTCTTCCCGAAAGAGCCACTCAGTCGAGCCGCGCAAACTCAGCACTAAAGCCCAAGCCCTCTCCTTGCTGCTGCAGAATTGGCCTTTTGCGGAAAATGAAACGGAAGTAAGACGCCTTGCCTGCAGATTCAATTGACAGCAGCAACTGACACAGCGGGTCACATATGTCGCAGCACAAAGCCCAAGCTGCAAACGAGATTCGGGGTGACTGCTGCTGTGCTGCTGCTGGGGAAGCCTGCGCGCCGAGATGTGCCTTTGAATCACTTTTCAAGTTCGTGAAAAACCTTTAATTTCTCCGAAACTGAATATTTATCAGTGCAAGTGAAGGACAGCGTCCAGTTGTCCAGTGCCGCCCCACACAGTCCCTGCTCGACACATCTCACGGTGGTCTCGAGGCGGACAGTCCTTCCTCGGAATGGTCCAGCGTTGTTTTGAATTTCCGTCGTTGGAAACACTTTTCTCAACTCAAAAAATTCAAGAAATGCATTTATTACCTAGGGGGAATCAAAGGAACTGCACAACCTGCTTATCAAGACCTCAGCCGATGGGCAACCTGAATCGACTGCGTCGTACCTGAATTTCACAATTTTCCTTCACGTCGCGAAGGCCAAAGTGTCGACTGTTGCAGTTTAATGGGGTCAAAATAAAATTTATGTTCCATTCAGTTCTGCACTTTGTTTGCTGAGCATAAGCAGCCGCGCCCACATGCGCCAGGTTACCCACTGGAAGACCTCCAGCTTCTGCGGGGCAAAGTGCTGAATTTGGGGCAGAACGCTGCAGTAAACAAGATAAAATATATTTTTGAACGAAAATGCATTGGTTTTAACTTTCAAATATGAAAATTAGCGCTGAGTCACGCCGCACGCTGCACTGTAGTGCTGGTGGTTTTTGATTCTTTGATCTTGGCTTAAACTGAGGAATTGTATCTTTATTCCGGTATATGGCTTTTGTTGAATTCTTGAGTGCAGCAATGTTTTGTTTATTACTTCAACTTTACTCAGTGCAGCGTGTAGCGACTGTATCAGCACAGCTGCTGTTTCTGGCTTGCAGCGACTAATTAGTATTTTGTTTCCTCTTCCCTTCTCACCATTCGGCCAGGCTTAACTCTTTTTGGCTCACTTTTTATCTTTTAGCCAAGCACTAGACGACACATGAAATCTCTGGCGGGGAAACATGCCTTCTATGCTGCACTTCCTGGCCCACGCTCTGTTCACAATTTGCTGCCTAGTTCAAATGGGCAGCGCGCGTTTGCCCGAGTTCTACCATTCCACCTCAGCCATATCAGCAGAACTTGAGAGTCTGGAGGAAACTTGTCCTGGACTTTTTGTAGAAAGAGAGCCAATCGACAGCCAGCACTTCATTGATGTTGTTTCCCTCTCCAGATCTGAAAATCCCGTGTCGCACTTCTTCCTGTTGGCAGGAGAGCACGCCAGAGAGCTCATCACAGCTGAGAGCGCTCTTCATTTCCTAAAAGGTAATTTTTAAACATAAATTTAAATGCCTCAAGCTCATTTCCTTTTGCAATGAGCCGCAGTCCTCTGTGGAGAAGAACCTGCACTGCGCAGGAAAGCGGAAGCTGCACTGGCGGACACTTCCTTCACAGTCATTGTGAACGGAAATCCGATATCTAGGACTAAAGTTGAAAATGGGGACTTCTGTGTCAGTTAATTTTGAAATATAAAGCCAAAACGCATGCAATAAGGGGCTTTGGCGGCTGCGTAGCTGCGGGTGAACGAGAACGCAGTGGACCTCAACAGAAACTGGAAAGGTATTCTTTGTTCCGCTGCTGCTGAGGCCTCAGACTTATTCAAAATTAAAAACAATTCAATTCCCTGCAGCTCACTGGAGCTCGCGGGCCAACACCCCAGAGACTTATCCCGGAAAGAAGCCATTTTCGGGTGCGTCAGTTCCTCCGTTGCTTCTTTCTGGATTTCGACGGAGTCCCACAGAGAGGGAAACGCAAATATTTCGGAAAGCCGCCACGAAATGCAAACCCGACGTGTTCCTTTCTGTTCATTCAGGTATTATTTTCTTCATTTTCCACTTTTTTTCAAACTCAAAAGTCCTTTTCAGGCACTCTGGGGATGTACATGCCGTGGGCGTACAAAGCAGCAGAGGCTTCGGAAAATGAAAAAAATATGAAGTGGGTCTTTTGGTCCTTATTTGCTGCTCAAGTGCCTCGAAGATCTTGCAAATGGATGTTTATTTGCACAAAATTATTATAACTTGTGTTGATATGCAAGTAGAGGTTTATTTGACAAGTTTGTGTTGACTTGTGTTGGCAGCGGAGCTGTGCAGCTCAGGCTCTCCGGAGCACTTGAAGTTTTTGAACTTCTGCTGCATGCATGATTTTCTTTGAACTGTGTTTTGTTGGTCTTCAAAATCTGCATTTTTTCTTTTCAGACGCGTCATGGAAGCTCTGGATGATGAGTTTTGCCAGTGTCCTTCAGGCAGGCTGTTTGTTTGTGTTCAGCTGGAGAAGAAAACTCGATTTTCGCATTTTCCAAACAGGACCGGCCGGAGAAAGAGTGGGATACCGCAGTCCGGGGACTTGTTTGGATTTTGTTTTCGAATTTCTCCAAGTTCCCTTTGCCTACGCCTTCGAGGTACTTGTGACGGACTTGAACTTGCACGAAAGCTGCGCGGCCGCGGCCAAAAGGAACTTGAATTATTTTCAACAACTCCAGATTTATGCCCCGCCTTCGCAACGCAAAGAACTCCTTCAAATGTGGCAATTGAAGAAAAGTTTCCACGACGCCTTCAGCGACTTCTCGGGGGAGCCCCGGCAGCGAATTCGGTTTCTGGAAAAGAGGCAGCAAGTGGCGCTGCAGTCCGACGAGGAAGCTGCCTCGAGCAGTTGTTTTGTGGTTTGTTTTTATTTTTATTTTTATTTTTATTTTTGTTTCCACTTTGTCAGTTGCTGCTGCTTTTTTCCCTTTCGAATCCGCAGCAGTTCAACCCCACCGACGAGGAAGACTTCCGAGAAACGCTGATGAACTGGAGCGAAGTAACTGAACTTTTCCCAAGTTCTCTTTTAAAAATTTAATTAATTCAAATTTACTTTTAAAGAATCAAATTTAATTAATTTCAAATTTCCTTTTTAATTCCATTTACTCATCCAGGCCTACTTGGAACTGAGCCAGGCCGCCACGGAGGAAATCCGCCGCCCGAAGCAGCAGATCGGCACTTTTTGAACTTCGCATTTTCGTTTTTCTGAATTCAAAAAGTCATAAATGCATCATTTTAAATGTCTTTTAAGACTCTGTCTTTGAAGTAGAATTAAAAATGCCAAAAATTAAATCTTTTGGGCTTTTTCCGCGCAAATTCCGCATTTCAAGTTTTGCAGAAACTGCCTTCATCTCTCGGAGAAACTGCACAGCCGCACTCATCTGTTTTCTATTTATTTGTTGTTCGATAAGTTCAAATTAATTTATATCTGAGAGAAAGTTTGTTTTTTTATTTATTTATTTGTTGTTCGATGAGTTCAAATTAATTTATATTTGAAAGTTGAAAAATAACACAAGTCCAAATTTGAATTGCGTTTCAGAAAAAGTTGAATTGCAACAGCAGCACTTGGAGTGCAAAAGCTTGCTCAGTGCTGCAGCAAAAAAACCTAATTAGGATTTTCTTTTATTTCTTTTTTTTGAATTTTAAATTTATGAAAATTTATCTTTTTAAGAAAGAAGTGCTGCAGTTGGGTCTGTTGGGCATCTTGGGCCAAGTGGAAACTCCAAATCCTGGAGCAGAACCCTAAACCCTAAACCCTAAACCCTAAACCCTCAGTTTCCGTCACAAGTGCATAACTTTTTCCTTCTCTTCTTTGGCGAAGTCCAAACCCTAGGCCCTAAACTCTAAACTCTAGACCTCAAACCCTACGCCCAAAACACCAGACGCTAAGCCCTAAACCCTGAACCCTAAACCCTAAACCCTAAACCCTTGACATCACCGAAAACCCTTCTGCTTGTTTTTTCTCCCTTTGTCTGCTTTCGCTGTAAGCGAGATAAGCCCTCTGCGGGAGTGGCCATAGGAAGCACCGCGGCGAGGGTTTAGGGTTTAGAATTAGGGTTTAGGGTTTATGGAATTAGGGTTTAGAGTTTAACCACTCCTAGATTTGCAGAAGAACTTGGCACTTTCTTCCCCTGGAGAAAACCCTTGAAGGCAATTCAAAAGTGCAGTCGAGGAAGCAAAAAAGAAACAAAAGAAAAGACAGAAAAAATAAAGAAGTGCAAATAAAAGAAAGAAATAAAATGTGCAATTCTTGCTGCAGCTTTTTCAAAAGTTGAAGACTTGTCAAACAGCAGCAGATCAGCCAGTGGCTGGGCGCTGGAGTTACGCTTTTGCCTAAATGAAATCAGAGTTAATGAACAAATTTGTTTTATTTCACTTTTCATCTTTTTTGAATTAATTTTTAAATTGAATTGCAGCTAAAAAGGGAAAGAGGCAGCATTTCTGAAGAGTTCAAAAGCGCCGAGGCTGTTGTATCTGAAAGATCTTGTGGGAAGAACTCTGTTTTATTTCAGAGTTCAAGAAAAACTGCCGAAATAATATTTAACAAGTAGTTTGGGCTTTTTACAAAAGAAGTTTTACTTGAATTTGAAATTTTAGGCGCTTTAATAGGTCATTTTAGTGATGAAATAACAGATTTATGCAAATGTGTTCGTTGGTAAATCACTTGGCAAGTCTTTCCGGAGCAGTCCGCAACTTGCTATTCGTTCCTTGATGTGGCTTTGAAATAGATATTATGGAAAAGCTTTAAAAGGTTTTAATTAATTTTTTGAAGTCTGAAAATTCAGTTGTTGTTGGGGGAGAAGCTGCCAGATAGCTGTACAGACACCTGCATGAACTTCGAGCCGGCGGCGAGGCGGCGCCGGCGAAACGGCCGCACAAATGTTCCTTCTCTCTGAAATTCAGGCGGCTTTAGAGAAGTAATAATATTTCTTATTCGAATAAACATCGAATCCGCGAAAACGACGGGAAACAACTCGGGAAACCGGAGTCTGCAGAGGAGCAGCCGCGCATGCAGCCGAGAGCAGCGGAGAAGCAGGGCTGGGCGGGGGCCCCGGAGTTGCGCATCTTCTTCTTCCAATTAAATAATTAAAAGGCAATAAAAGACTCTTAAGGGCCCTTTTAGCTGCCTGAAGGGCCGCTGCAGGCGCCAGCAAGCAGCAGCCGCGCAGCAGCAACTATCTTCCCCGCGCCCCGCAAGCCGCGGGACCTTCTGCTGCTGCGCTGCCCATGAGAGGCTTTTGCTGCAGCAGCAAAGTGGCTCTTGCGCATTTCAGGTGTCTCCGCACTTGAGGGGGGGCGCTGCGGTGTGCGTACACCGGGGGGCCCCAGCTAGCTCCGCTGCTGCCGCTGCTGCTGCTGCTGCTGCTGCTGCTGCTGCTGCTGCTGCAGCAGCCCCCCAAATGCAGGGCTTCAACCCCCAGTCTCTCCGCCTCCTGGCGGCTCTTCCTCTGGACTTTTCAAAGTTGACTCAGGCCTTCGACTTGGACGACGTGGTCCAGCGCAGAGACCCCAGCGAGTGCAGCAGGGGGCCCCCAGGGGGCCCCCATGCCCAGGGGGGCCCCCCGGGGGGCCCCCCTGGGGGCCCCCATGCCCAGGGGGGCCCCCCGGGGGGCCCCCCGGGGGGCCCCCAGGGGGGGCCCCCTGCTGCAGATAGCCCCGGAGCTGCAGCAATGAAGGGACTTGTGATTCGGACTTATAGAGGCATTCAGGACTATTCTCAAGAGCGAGATCCTGGTGAGAAGTTTTGAAGAAAATAAAAAGATTTAAATGGACTTTTAAAAGTTGAAAAGTGTTGCCAGTTGCACTTGCGGTGTACGTACACCGCAGTGCTGTGGGGGTGGGAAGACCTTTAATTTCTTTTTCCACTTTTTTCGTTTTTCGTTTTTTGATTCTTTTTTTATTCTTTTTTAATTCTTTTTATTCTTTTTTATTCTTTTGTCTCTTCTTTTGCTTCTTTTGTCTCCTTTTGTCTCTTTTTTATTTCCTTTTTTAATTTTTGTTTTTTGTTTTATTTTCTTTTTTTCTTTTTCTTTTTTGTGATTTCTTTTGACCGAATGGGCTGAGGCCTTTCAGCAAGCACTGCACTACATGCTGCTGCTGCTGCTTTTGCTGCTGCTGCTGTTGCTGCTGCTGCTGCTGCTGTTTTTGCTGCTGCTGCTGCTTCTGCTGCTGCTGCTGCTTTCGCTCCTGCCGTTGCTGCATTTTCCGCTGCCGCTGCTACCACTACTGGTGCTGCTACTGCAACTACTGCTGCTGCTGCTGCTGCTATTGCTGCTGCTGCTGCTGCTGCTATTGCTGCTGCTGCTGCTGCTGCTGCTGCTGCTGCAGACCGCATGAATCCTGGCCCGGAGGAGGTGCAGGTGGCTTGGGAAGATGGAGCTGTTGAAAATGTCTGGTGTGGGGCTTTGAAGTTGGGTAAGTTAAAATTTAATTAATTTAATTTTTTAATTTAATTAATGTTTAATTGTTATTTAATTGTTATTTAATTGCCATTTAATTGCTATTTAATTGCTATTTAATTGTTATTTGATTGCCATTTAATTGCTATTTTAATTGCTATTTAATTGTTATTTAATTGTTATTTAATTGTTATTTAATTGCCATTTAATTGCCATTTAATTGCTATTTAATTGCAATTTAATTGCTACTTAATTGCCATTTAATTGCCATTTAATTGCCATTTAATTGGTATTTAATTGCCATTTAATTGCTATTTTAATTGCTATTTAATTGCTATTTAATTGCTATTTAATTGCCATTTAATTGCCATTTAATTGCTATTTAATTGCTATTTAATTGCTATTTAAGGGGCATTTTAATTGGCGTTTTAATTACCATTTAAACGATTACTTATTTGTTTTTAGAGTTCCTAGTCTGCTGCTGCTGCTGCTGCTGCTGCTGCTGCTGAAGTTCCTCCTTTGCTGCTGCTGCGTTATTGGCTTTTGCTTCTGGCTTTTCCTTCACTTCTTTCTCTTGTTTCTCCTTTCTTTTTGAATCTTTTTGCCTTTTAGTCTTTAAATATTTAATCTTTTAATCTTTTAGTCTTTTAATCTTTTAATCTTCAAGTCTTTTGATCTTTTGTTTGCTGCTGCTGCTGCTGTT